AGAAGCGAATGTCAAGAAGAAATACTCAAAAGTGTTGTTAACTGTCTGTAGGTTTTTTTTTGGTACTATTGTCGTCCACATACTCAACACTTTGAAAACAATATTTTCAAGCATAGTTTATATAACTGCATTACTGAATGTATTTACATAGAAGTATTTCACGATGAAATCATAAATTTGCCTTGCCTCGGTTATAAAAATAGATGTATATATCTATTATCTATTTTACTCGATCTTACTATTCATGTCCCTCTATCCTTATAATTTTTCATTTTTAATGCCTATGTTTTCTTTTTTTTCTTTATACTTTTATGCGTGCATCTATAATGTGTTTGGAAGTGCAATTGACGTCGTTACCTATTTGTCCTTTTTTTTATTATTGTTCTGATGTCATTCTTTTGTTCTATTATCTTATTTTCTTGTCAACTACAACGTGGCACAACAAGATATTAATACTGAAAATAGTAAGCATAGTTTTCAAAAGTCAACATAGAGATATCTTGAGAAAATGCATCTGGATATTATTTATCTTATTATCCGCAGAAGAGTCAGCGAAATTTTGAGATTAATAATGTACTTAAGTCAATAATAGTTTTATTTTGAAAACAAAATGTGCGAAATACATGAAAGCAAAAAAATAAGATAAAGTAATTTGAAAACAACTTTCTTATCATTCTGCTTATACATAGAAGACATATGAAGCATTGCTGTCATTAAGTATACTCGTAATTTCTTTCATATAAACAGAGAATAGAAGATCGGCTAGATCTTGGAAGCATGGTCACCCATTTACAAACGGCTTTATCGAGCATTTTTCTTGTTCTTATTCTATATGTTTTGCAAGGTTTAACTCTTGGACTCACAGGTACCTTGCCATTGATTTTAGTGGCTCACGGTGCCACATGGAAAGATCGAGGCACTTTCAATTTTGCATTTTATCCATTCTCATTTAAACTTATTTGGGCACCATTGATCGATGCCCTCTACAGTAAACGTTTTGGTAGACGAAAATCATGGTTAGTACCCATACAACTTAGTATGGCTGGAATTTTGTTGCTGCTATCGTTCTTTGTCGAATCATTTATAACTAATCTGCGTATTATATTGCTCACTGTTATTTTCATTTTTATTGTTTTTCTTACCGCAACTCAAGATATTTGTGTCGATGGTTTAGCTATCACCTTATTTTCTGCGACGAATCCTCAATGGGCATCGACTTCGCAAACTGTAGGACAAACTTTGGGTCGTTTTCTTGGTTCCTCATTTCTTTTAACATTTGAATCAGCAAATTTCACTAATCGATTCATTCGCAAGCCATTTTCACTTCCCTCTGCGGCATCAGGCTTATTTACAGTCGAACAATTCATACGTATTGCAGCTCTCTTTATTCTAGTTGTCACTACGTGTCTTGTATTATTTCTTCGTGAGAAAGAAGACGTATCAAACTCGAATGGTGAAGAAACAGAGAGTCTTTCTTTACTCGAAACATATCTTTCAATTTGGAAACTTTTAAAAAAGAAATGTATCCAACAGTTGACTCTCGTTGCACTTCTTGCTCCGATAGGGATGGTGGCTATCAATTATATGACCTATTTGTCACTCGTAACGTAAGTGAAGAAAATATTCATTTTTGAATTTATTCTGTTCTGAGTCTGCAGTCTTGAAGCAAAAAAAAAAACACTTTGAAGAGAAAAGATGAAAAGACCATTGAAAATGTGGTGCAACGCATAAGAAACACTATTTGATACAGGTTTTTATTCTCAAAAGAACAACCAACCTTAATGTTAATACTTCAACATATTCGACAACTTTCAAACAAATAAAATTGTGTTCTAAAATGAGTTCACAAAATAATCATTATTAATGCCGTCTTTTGTATGCGAGATGTTGCTATTAATATTCTTTCATAGAAAATAAAGAAGAATGTTGTAAACCAGAATATTTTTGATCAGTTTTAAATTAGAGAACACCTCTTGTAGAAACCATAATTAGTATTGATAATCTATAAAAAAATGTTCTTATAATGATATGTTATCTATCGAAGAGCACCCTAGTCGGATTAAGAGAAATGTCAAGTGCAAGTCAGAAACAAATAAATTATGTTATTTCTTCAATTTTCTTTTTAGTCAAGGTGTACCACGGGAGTATTTAGCTCTTGTCAACATACCAGTGACTCTCATCACAATTGCAGCGCCTCTAATTATTCGTCATACAGAACTACCACTCATCTGGTACGCTGGATCTTATTTGCTGTATCTTATAAGTGGCATACCAATTGCTGCTTATGTCTATTTCACTCCTCGTATAATCTCCACGAGTTATTATTATCCGTTACTTATTTTACTTCTAGCATGGAATGAATTCATTATGACATTACGATTCGCTGCACAAGTCGGATTCTTTGCTTCAATTAGTGAGCCACGTATTGGTGGCACGTATATGACGTTACTCGTCACTCTACATAATTTAGGATTTGCTCTGCACTCATCGATCATTCTTTATGTAGCAAACTGGTTACCAAAGAGGTATGCCTTTGTTATTTTGGTAGGTGTATGCACCATTATTGGTATTATATGGCTTGGTTTTTCATTTCGAACCTTGAAACGATTACAAGAACTACCCACTCACGAGTGGCATCTAATACCAGAAATAAACATAGATAATGCTACTAAACCGGACGAACAAAGTCAAAACGATCACAGAGCATCATTGATGTCGGACAGAGATACGGAGCAAATAACTTGAAGTTTTTTTTTTAAATAATTTTTGATTTGATGTGTATGCAACAAAAATAGTGCATGTATTTCTCGTATAGATTACCTTGGTGAGAGTAAGAAACCCTTTTATTCCCGATCGACATCGAAAAAAAAGCAAAGAAAACTAGATGACATTCGAGTTTCACTCGAATGTGAAATGCAATGCAAACCGAGAATTTCGGTTTTCGAAAAAAAAAACGACTTGTCGTTCATGGAATCCATTGTGAGTCGCTCTTACACTAAAAATGTTTACGTCTAACTGGAATCAAACATTTTTTTGTCATTATGAATAAAAAATATTATAATTTCATCAATCAATTGATCAAAATCAAAATCAACGTGAAAAGTTGCCATAATAAAACTCACTACAACGAGAACTCTAGGAGTTCTTGTCAACATGTAATCCATGAACGCTTTCGGTTGATCGTTTAATTATTTATAAGGTGTGAATGTGGATGAGCGAGCATGCTGATGAAGAGAATGTCTGCACTCAAACTAGAAAAAGTAAGTTGTTTTTGCACTTCAGGATGTATCCGAAAGACTTTTTTTGACCAAAAATAAATGAACAATTTTCTTGTTTTCAATGTTTTTTGCATAATATAATCATAAAGAGTATGCACTGATACTAGTGCAAAAAAATATCGCATGTGTCGTATTTTGCAACATGAGGTGCTCTCGTTGGGATACATTTTGAAATTATTAGCAACTACTTTTGGAGTACAAGATGGCAACATTCTAAGATCTAGTCGGATCAAGTTGATTTGATCCTGATCAACCGTTTTCGATGTAGTTCAATCTCGACCATTGATTAATCTCTCAATATATTCTTGACTAATGATGAAAATATCTATCATATGACATATTTTTATGGTACAGTCTGTGACATGTTTTTATTTTAATGTATTGACTGAGCACAAATGCAAGAATTCAAATTGATTTCTGATGAAGAATATTTCTTATTGTATCGAATTTTTTCCGAAATGAAAATCATTGCATAAATCATTCTCATTTGTATTATTATTTACATCATATTCAACCAACGTAGATCATCGTACATCGTTGGAAAACTGAACTTATAAAAGGATCGTCGAATCACTATCTTGTTTTAATCAAAATACCTCTATCAATCAAAGTAAATAATGTTTTTCGTTAAAGTATATGAGAAAGAATCTCTGTTTTTCTCAAATGTATTCTATTGCTAAAACCATATGTTGCTAACTGTTGCAACACATAGTCTTTCGTTATTTTTTTTGAATATCATTGAATTCTTAATAACCACATATCTTCATAAGCATATGTTTTGGTCAAAATTAATACTCAGTCAAAGTTTAAATTTACCCATTCAAAATCAAAAATTTTTATTTTGACTGAACGAAATTGAAATTTTTTTTGATGAAAAGAAAAAGGTAAAGAAAACTAAAAGTTAAAGTAGCAACAACTTCTTTACTTCAAAAACACTTATTGACAAATATTATATAATTGTGGGTATAATAAGTTCCTGTAGAAATGTTAATTTATATTTTCAATTGAATTAATACATAAATTAAACTATTAGTAGTTTAAGCTTAAAATCAATTTAAACTATTTTTTTTATAACTTAACTTAAAAAACGTTTAAATTATCATAATTCATATTTTAAATAAAGTCTTGTATTATCATCATCATCACATGATGGTAGTTGTCATAAATATTAAATTGAGTTCGATGAAATACGTTTTATTATCAATGATCCTTCTGGTATATCTAAAATCATGTTTTTCAACAACATAACCAATAAGTTCACTTCTATGGCTATCTCTACATAGTACTCGACTAATAATAATGTAACCTGTTTTGTAAATGACAATTAGAACAAATCAATATATTACTAATCATCATTCTTGATATTTCTTAATGTATATTCCAATTTTATTGTCTCTCTTTGAGGTGTTTAATACTTATTCAAATTTTAGTTCTGATTTCATTGGATAGAGAATGTAATTCTCTACAAAAATGCTGACTTTATTTTTTTTTACAAAGATTTTTCATGCAGATATAAACTTTATGAGATTAAAACTTCTTGAATTATCAAACTGTGAATTCCTTTTTTTGCTATAAATAAAAGACGATTTGTATGAGTGTGTGCTCATCAAAATCGATGTTAAAAAAACTAAGTATTATGTTCAGAGGAATAAAAGTTGTGAACAAAATAGTGAATGTATTCACTTGAACAGTTGAAACATTTAGACAACTTTGAATCAGTCGAAAACAATTCCTCAGTTATGTCCGGAACTAGCATTTTTTCAGTGCTTCGACATTTTTTTTCTCTCAAATATTTGTTCTAGTGCTTTGAAAATCACATCAAAAGATGCGAAATTTTGTATAGAATATTGTAGCATTTTTCAAAATTTCAACAGATCCGTCTCTCAAAATTCTCTATAATTTTTTCACTGTTTTTGACTTTTCCTATTGAGTAGATGTTAATCTGGCTAAGATATAAAAACCAAAATTTTTAAATAATTATTAAACGTTTCACAGATAGGAAAGGAGCCATTTATTATGGTGTTTTCGTCATCTTCACTTTTCAGAGAAAAATTTTGCAATTTTCTAAAAGAACCTTAAATTGAATTTTATTGTGAGCGAAATTTTTTATTTTAGTGACACATTCTACGCCTCTGGTGACAAAAAATCGAATTCTTTTGACAAACAGTGATATCATAAATAGTAAAACTACATTTGAAGAATATAGCATATCTAACAATAATCTTGGCTTTCTTTTATCCTTTTCTATAATGAAATATACGAATAAAATCTAGTTAAATTAAGTCTACTACTTTCTGCGATGCGTGAATAAAACAGTAAAAAAAGCACGTCTGTCTGTTTAATTTTTTGACTTTTCATTCTCGAGATTATCACAGTCTAGTAAGTAAAATAGAAAAATATCTCAAGTAAAAGATGGAGGCCAAATCATTAAAATTAGTGGTTCGTGGAATTTACTGAAGAAGAACGAATACTGATATTGAAAGTTTCTATCAACTTACCATTCTCGAGAATATTGCAACACAAAGTATAGATTTTTGTTACAGTAAAAACTACGCAAAGGATGTAGTACTTCGTACCGCACTAAATATTTCTACTCGATTGAAAAAACAATCAACGAAAGAATTAGAACCGATCATTTCCGTATGTCTTCTTTTTTTTAAACTTCATTTGTGATTGTAAACAAGAATTAAAACAATTTATTGTATTCTTTTCTGGTTCTTATCTCGATTCTAAATCATAATAGTGATAAGCATTTAAAATGTGAAGCTATGACAATCTAGTTTTCATTCTCAAAACGTCGTGGAATTCGATCTGTGCGTTGCTTATTATTCGTTTGCCCTTGCTTATTAATTAATGCAACATATAAAGAATTGTTGAGTATAGTTGATCCTTTATTAGCATGACTAAGACTTATTTGTAGACCACATGTGAAACATCAGTGGAAGTCAAGAACAATGCTATCCTACTGAGTTCATTTTTTTTGAACTGATGCTGGATGATCATTGTCTCTACAACGAAGGACTTTGAACGAAGCCACATGAGACGAGACAGTTTTTTTTCTTATGATTTATTGAGAAAATAATTCTCGACAGACTCATTATTTTATTATAAAAAATTTTATTTTGTTCTATGCACAACATGAGAAAAATTAGGATAATCAAGATCACTTCAAAGTATCTATAAGATACTTTGATGTTTGAGATATGACAGACAAAGTAAGTGTATGAATTTGTTTTTTTTTTTTTTTGCATCGAACTAATGTTATTTTGAAATGGTCGATTGTTGATGATACACTGAAAAGAATGATTATAACAAAAGTATGTGACATGCAAAGCAAATTATTTCTTTTTTTCATAATATTATTTGTTAAATGTGAATATTGAGCAGTAATTGATAGTAAAGAAGATAAAAATAGCATAATTTTTTGTATTAGTTATTCTTGCCTATCCCTTGAGTCATCATAAAATATGAGCAAAAACTTCGTGTTTCTATTTTTAATAAATATCAATAAAAATATTTATGTTATTGTTTGTCGTATGAGAAAAATATGTGGTGTTACAGGTTGTTGATAAACAAGAAATCGACAATATGGACAACGATAATGTGTTTGTAACCAATGAAGAAGACATTCTCGATGATAAATATGTTTACATATTAATTGTAAAATCATATCAGTTATATTAAAATCTCCTAAACAAATTGAACATTGTGATGAATTATGAATTTGATTATATTGTATTGTATGTGCTACAATATCAGCTGTAAGAATTTGATTATTATTATTATTATTACTGTCTAATGATGATATAGTTGATTGAATAATTGTAGCTATAGTATCATTTAATAAATGTTGTCGAACAACAATTAATGAATTTGTTTGTATTGATGAATTTATTTCAATTATTGTTTGTGGTCGTGCTGTACGAGAACTTGGAATTGTTTGAATTATATATGTTGATTGATTAGATGATATAGGATTATATAAAACTTTAAGTGCCCAACGATTATTAGCTATATTGACATGCATTGAATTTGACATTATATTATATATATTCGCGCAACTCAATATTTGGTTGCTAAAGACAAATATTTAAAGAAAATTTCGATTTATTTATTGATTTTAAATTTTATAAAAAATTTTTCGTAATTTTATATTTCATAGAAAATATGCATTATTTCTTCATCTATCAAAATATTGTGTTTATTTCATAATATAGAAATTGATGATTAAAAACAGATCACGTATATATATATATATACTTATTATGATCTGGATAAAAAAGAAAAAGAAAAATCAATTTTTTTTTCATCAAAAGCGATCTTATATTATTATGTTAATATAATAGATTATTTCATCCATAAGAATAGACGCCTAGGAATTCTAAGCTATTGAAAATTAACTCAATACTATAAATATAGTATTTTATATAAAAATATTTCTTTATAAAAAGTCATATGTCTTGACAAATATTATTTAGAAACTATAGTTTATTTAACCTTGTTAACATCTTCGAATATTTTCTCATAAAACATATTGCTATAAGATAATTAATATTATGAAATTTTCATATTTCTAATATTAATTTTATCTTATCTAATAATAAGAGTACTTTTGCTCGATTTTTAGTTTCAAGCGTTCTTTTCTTTTTTAATATTTAATTTTTCTTTGAAATATTAAAAAACTCATATAAATTTTGTCTTTGGAAGAAAAAAAAGAAACTATATATATATATATGTTTTTTTGTCTTATTTTGTTTTGTAGTTATAAAAATTCATATAAAACTAAGAATGACAATAGTAAAGTTTTGTTTGCATGATAATCTTGCATTTGTTATGAATCTATTATTAAATTTGACAACTTTAGTCGAAGTATATAAAAACGCAATAGATATTAATTTTTAGAATAAGAAATCGAATTATTATATGATAAGTATAGTATAATTATCAAATATCAATAGATTTATATTTAGAATAAATGTTTTTTTTAAAGATACTTTCTTTTGATTGTATAATAATTGACAAAAAATACATTAAGATATTTTCTAAATTAAATGTATTATAATTATAATACAAAAGTTAAATTGAATTAATATTCATTTTATTTTATTCATAAGTTATTGATATACTTCTTTTAATAGAAAAGTTATTGTTAGATGTAACATATTTATTATTTTATTTTAACAGATGAATATAATCTTATTGTATAGATGAAATCTCATACATTAATTATTTGTACATCTGTTCAATTAATGATATAGAACATGACTTTTTTTTTTCAACATTTTTGCTTTTGTTTGATTTTGTATTTTTAGAATTTATATCGTTGTAATACATTCTTTTTTTTTTTGTAGCTTAATTATATGTTCCAGTATTAAATAATATATTAGTAGATGTCTGGTTATGATCACGGGATATCTCAAAATAGGTTAATTTGTGTTTTTTTTTTGTTTCTAATATTTTATATATCAGAGAAATGAAGTTAGAAAAGAAAAAGCATACGAAATCATGCATACAACCGGAAATAAATACCTATTAATTTCTTGACATTGACGTATGTTGTTTAGAAAGAGAGGAAAAAAAAAAGGAAATCGGGTGAGTTTTTTTTTTTTCCTATACATATTCATGACAAATAATATCTTCTATATATATTTATTATTTAGTCAAATATGTAGTGAGTTGTTTTTTCCTTATAATATATAATTTTATTTTTTGATTTAATAGAAAAAAGAAAAGAAGCTTAAGATCTAAAAATCTCATCAGACTTGTAATTTATTAGTCTGAATATTTTATCAGTTGAAATTATTTTGAAAATAACTTGTTGAGATAATGAAATTTACATCATTTTATAGACATAGAAAAAAAAAAAATCTTTGCTATGATATAGACTGTACCTAACATTAGAGTTATTATTAAAGGTCATTTTACTTCTTTTTCAAAAAGTTATTAGGAACTTCACTGGTGTAGATTTTCATTATTGTTAATGAATATATGTAAATATAGTAAGGAAAATTGAGTCATTCTTATAAATTATTACAATGAAAACTAGATGACAAATAATGTAGGAAAATAGATAAATAATTTACTAAAAAAAAAAAAAGAGAGAAATAGAATATCATATTGAATCTGTTATTTTATTTTATCAAAGGAAAACATTTAGAAATTCTTGACTTTT